ATCTACTGTACCTGGGGAATTGCTCGACAGCCACCGGAGCAGCCATCTTCCTGGATGGTCCCTTTTTTGCCACTGTTTTTCCCCCACAATTCTTGCCCATGGGGTTCCAGGACCGAGGTAGGGGCACCGTCCCACTTCCTCCCCACGATCATGCAGACAGAACCCTCCCAGGTGGCACATGGTGTGCACCCATGGCCTCGTTGCATTGAGCAGGCTCCTGGTAGCCGAGATGCTGGCCTGTACGTGCAAGGAGATTCTCTACCTTCTCTTTGAGTGGCCGGACCTTGGGGAACAGTCTGTCCACAGCTGAGACAAAAACCCATGGTGGCAAGGTCCTCCTTGAATTGCTGCAGCTGGCAGACCAGTCCATGGGCAGTTGGAGCCTCTAAGTCTACCCAGTCCACCATGGCTGGGTTGCTGCTGCACTTCGATGTGCTCTATACAAACATCCACCATACAGACCTTGTGCACTGGAAGTCATCCCAATCTTTGGGGGACTAATTATTGCCCGGGTCACTGTGGACCACTGCAAACACCCTCAGGTACCGGGTATGTTCCTCTCTGGTAGACCACGGACCTCACTGGGTTACAAGATCTTCCTTGAGTGGATACTTTGCTTTCACACTCAGTAAGAGCCACCTCCAGACGTGATGGGTGGCTGCCCCTCTTCTGATCCATCAATCCCACAGTCCCTAGCAATGGATCCCAGCTGCTGGGCTTCCCTACCTTCTAGTTCCAGCCTGTCAGCCCCACCATCCCAGCATCAGAGCAACCAGGCAGCAAATATCTTCACCTGGCTGACAGACACAATCGTTCCCTGTATCTCGCAGCCCGCTCAGGGATAGGGACCAGGTTGTTCTGCCTCTGCCCCCTCTCAGGGGAAGAGTCCACTGTGTGGACTTCACTGGGACCCCTTGACTGCAAGAGCAACTATTATAGTTCAGAGTGGAGCCCCTGGTTTAGTCGCAGTGACCGTCTGCATGACCTCAAACCGGGAGACGTTTCTCTTGGTGGCCATCTGCGCAGCCTCATATCAGACCTTCTCAGTGCCTGACTGCATGGTCTCGGAGCAAGAGACCTTCTTCTCAATGTCAGGGTCTGTGGCCTTGGAGCAAGAGACCTTCTTATCAGTGCCCATCTGTGTGACCTCGGACCAAGAGCCCTTCTTATCTGTGCCCACCTGCGTGGCCTTAGCGCAAGAGACCTTGTTATCAGTTCCCATCTGTGTGGCCTTGGAGCAAGGG